GTATCGCTGAAGTTCTTCGGAAAGAATTTTATGGGAAATTAACAAACGAGCAGATACGTAACAATATTTTTGTAGACTGCATGCTATATTACTACCCATTTTTTCAATCATACAAAGACAAAAAAAAGATTTTTGAATAAAAAATGAAATGAACACAGTTGATTCATCTTGCTCTTTTTCTTTATTTGTCATAAATTTGATATCATATTGATGAAAAAATGAAACAAAGATGATATCTGTTTGACATGGACTCTTTGAAAACAAGCAACAATCATGAAAAAGAGGGTGCAAACTTTCTTTCAAAGAGGTCATTTAAAAAAAAAAACAACCTCCTCCTTCCTTTGTTTGAAAAGTCTGGATGGTAAACATGTTTTTTTTTTTTACTTGGCCTTATAAGATGTTTTCTAGAAGAAAACCAAAAGTAACTAAGCTGATAACAAATTTGTCTGACACCAATTAGACTGAGAGGTTTTGCCTAAACTTACATTTGGATATGTACCTACCCTCATTTTCTAACATATGTTTCAGTTCAAACCTCACTATAATATGGAATAGTGCAAAAAACTTTCTTTACTAAGACATAGTAAATGTAACATATTTACTAATGTTCTTATAGTTAAACACATAACTGCTCTACACTATGACAGGTTGTCACAGATTTGTATTCAGTTTTCAAAATTATCGATTGTTTGTGTCAGGTATTTACAGAAAGCTACACAAGCTTTACAAACATTAGTCATCAATAATTTTGAACTGACAGACAGAAAGATGGCAGTTAATCACACCATTCACTGCCAACTCTTGGGCTACTTTACTAATACTAGTCAAAGATCATCACTCTTATAATGCACCTAATATTCCACAGAGCATAGCTTCATCTTATGGAAAATGGGATGCAAAACATGGACCCTTAACTTCAGTGTAGCACTCTAATTACTAATACTAGGCTACACTCAGTCCAAATTGTTGGAAGATAAATTTCAAGCAATTCATTTTACCATGAGATTATGACTAACAATTTATGCCTAAAAAATCAACACAAGATGGTGATAAACACAGAAAATGCATAGCGACCTATCACTTTTTTTCCATATATTAAATTATTATTATTACAAATTTGCAGTACTACTCGCTTGTTAGGACTTGGCCTTATCTGTTACTAGTGTTATTGTTAGTACCCTGTCTGGTATAAATTATAGGCCTATGTTGAATACAATTTTTGTATTACTGTTAATTATTAATCATGAACAATGAACATGCCATAAGAATTTAATTTTTAAACATCTTAAAAGTCATCATCTTACTTGAAATTTTGCTTAAATCAACTGCTCTTGCCTGTGTCTACAAATTAAAGTACAATGTGACGACGTTTCGGTTCTAATTTCCAAGTTGTATACCGAGACTTTCTTCAGGTCGAAGGTCACAATTGCTCCGTTTCCATATAAAACTTAAATGTAAAAAGCCAAAACGTCTTCCCATAACGCTTCAAACAGTTCAAAACAGGCAGGAGCAGTCTACTGAAGCCAATATACCATTTTGGTTACTTACACGAAACTTGGAAACGTATGTTTCTAATATCAATGGCATAAAACTCTCACTCAACTCCAAATTAAGTCTTAATTTATTATTAATTATCTTATTCCTACCTTCTTGTTCAGTGAAACATACTTCTGAGAAACCTATAATAATAATTGTAATTGTAGTACATAATACAAACAGAGGTGAACAGTAAGTCTTAATCATAATTTACTTCGTTTTCGACTATTATGACCTTAACAACAAATATTTTTACAGCGTAAATTAAATTCAGAACTATCAAGGCATTGCTGTGTGTATTTCAAGTTGTTTTACATGTACTTATAATAATCTAACCCCACGAATATGATTATGATATCAACAAATGGTTAAGCTTCTACTTGCACCTGATAAAGCTAGCGTCATCTGTGAAGTAAAATAATAAGAAAAGAAACATAAAAATGGGACTGATTTATAGGTCTGCAAAGGAGAGGAATAAGCCAGTGTGTTAGTTTAGTAAAAGAGATCATATTATGGATAAACATAATAAAATCAAAAAATTTAAACTTACTGGCAAAAATAAGGACTCGGAAGACTATAGGAAATCAAGAGACCTGTTTAAAAAGGAAGTCAAAAGGGCAAAAACTGTATACGAAAGAGGGTTGGTTGAGAGAGTTAAATCAAACAATAAAGAATTTTTCAGGTATATGATGGGTAAGCAAAATATTAGGATAGGGATTGGACCTCTTAAAAATGATAGTGGGGAGTTGATCTCAAAAGATTATATATTCTCTTGAGTTTTAACGAAGGAAGATACAAGTATTATGCCTCAACCAGAGCACTTAATGTATGGGAAAAATACTGATGTGTTACGTCTCCGTTTGTTAATTGATTTTCCGTAAATTAGTTCTTACGAAACTTTAACGACACAAGTCTTTACTTAATAAAACTGGTTTATTCTTTCCGAATATAACTTTACGATACACTTAATTTCAACAATCGCGCTAAAACAAACGCTATAACAACGAACGTGCTCAACTTCAATAATTCTCTCTGACTGCAGATCAATTACTCACTGTCTACACACACATTGTCACGTCACGCCGTGACCATCTTATATATATCAGACCACCCCCCAATCTAGTAAATGCTAGAGCACTCCCGAAGGAACGGGATAGTTCTAGAAAGCAGGTGGCGTGACACTAGTCACGTGACCTCGCTGACGCAACAGATGTAAAATACTGATGTAAAAGATATCATTTGAAGTTCTGAAATTATAAGAGAAAAGTTGCACCAGACAACTTTTATCCCTGAGTTTTAAAGAAACTTAAAAATTTTATTTGTGAACCGCTAGCTAATATTTTTTACAAGTCATTGAGTAGTGGAAGAGTCTTAGAAGATTGGAAGTTGGCTAATATTAGTCCAATATTTAAAGGAGGTGATAAATATTTTCCAGGCATTTATAGGCCAGTTAATCTTACACCAGTAGCTAGAAAGAGTATTTAAAGATGCATTGCAGAGTCACTTAAAGCAGTTTGATGTAGTGTCAAGGAGCCAGCATGATTTCACTAAGGGAAAGTCTTGTTTAACAAATCTTCTGACATTTTTGAGGATGTTACTGCTAGAGTTGATGAAGGAAACACTGTGGATTTGATTTACCCTGATTTTAGAAAACGTCTGATAAGGTGCCTCACAAAAGACTTGTTACAAAAAATAAAACTATGAGTATATGGGAAATGTTATTAAATTGGCTAGAGAGTGAAAAGCAGAGAGTAGTAATAAATGGAGTTAGGTCTAACTAGATCACAGTTACAAGTGATGTGCCTCAGGTGCTGTTTGTGATTTATACTAATGATATTGACTCTGGAATGACCAACAAAATGTTGAAGTTTGCAGATGAAATTAAGATTTTTGGGTGGCTAACTGTATCAAAGATGCTGCAGAAATACAGGGAGAATTAGATCATTTGATGCATTGGGCCAATACTTGGCAGATGATATCTAACTATTCAAAATGTAAGGTGATGCGTGTAGGTTTCCACAATTCAAATTATCTTTACAATTTTGAATGGGAATACATTAAATACTGTGGTTGAAGAAAAGATCTTGGTGTTGTGATCGAAAAATCACTTAAGTCATTTAAACAGTGTATTGTAGCTACCAATAACAAATGTTAACCTGGTTTTTGACAAAATCAAATATCACCCTATAATTTAATCAAGAGTCTCCTCCCCCCTCCAAAGGTAGTTAACTTCTAGTAAGAGTATGAAACAAGTGTGACCATAACAGCAGGGTTTCCTATCACTATTAAAGCTAAAGCTGTAGTAATATAATAATCATCACACTTCTACAATATATAATTAACAGTGCGTAAGTGTGAGAGCATTGAGATTCTTATCTCAGAACCCATTATATCCTTACTACAACACAAACACAGAGTTTGACTTAATAACTATTCGTACTCAATGTATTTTTCTTCAATTTTAGATTTTAGCTTGAGTAGTGGTTGGGTAGAATTTTCATGGATTTTTTTAGGGAAACTTTACTTTCACACAACAAATAATTTGGCATTGGATCTGTCAATCCCCATTACAAATTCATTTATTGGATCTCTCGGTCCCTATTTTCTCTCTCTCACAAATAACTCTCCTTATATCTCTTATGTCATGTCAAAGAAAAACAATCAAACTGCAACTATCACAGTGAATATTACAGTGTTTCCGAGGGGGTACGCCTGACTGCGTAGTACAGCTTTCCACTAATTTCTTTTATTCCTTCCAAAAATATCCGCTTTCCTCTACGGCTGCTGCCTACGTTTATGCAATGCTATTTTTTATTAAAAAATTCCTAACTCCTTAATTCCCTTTTTTGTTAATATAACTTGCCAAAAGATGTGAGTAACTTGGCATTCTGTAAATTATAGGAGGGTTTGTAGCTAGTATATAACTCCAATCAAAATTAAAACTAAACAAGAAAAAATACAATAACAACAGGAACTAAAAACAACCAGAAAATAATGTATTTAGTTTTTGTGTTTGTATATCAAAAGTTAAAATTTCACAGATAATGTACACGCTTCATGTTTGCTTGCACATAGTCGGGCCACAGAAGGAATGCTATGAATCCAATGTTGTGTTGGTTAGTTACGGTGTCATTAGAATGTGTATCTTCAACATTTTGGTGCCATGCTGTTGGTGTGTCATGATGGTCAAATGTCCCTAGCTGGTTAGTCAAGAGTAGCCCACGAGATGACGATGGATGTTGTTGAATTGCTGCTATTCTCTAGTTTATTAATTCAAAATTGGACATTGTGGATGACAAAGTCAGACAGCTCTTGAGTAGCTTTGTCTGAATATATGAGAACAAAAAAATAAGAAGTATCTCAAGTTACTAAAGTTGAAGATTTTACTTGATTCTTTTCTTGCAACGAGTTTCATTCTTGAAAAATTCACTGTCAATTGGTGACATTGTTTTATATATGTATGACCTTTTATTGCTAATGAAATGTATAGAGTAATTAAACCTTGAAAATTTTTTTGAGGAGCTTTGCATAAATACTTGAAAACACCTTTCAGTTCTCTACTACAAGTTGCTCTGATTAGAGATTTTGCTTCATTCTTCTTTTGCAATCACTATAATTTCTGAAAAACCCGCTGTATAAATATGGCATTCTACTGTGAATGAGGTATATAATTGTTACGTCTCCGTTAGTTAGTTAATTTTCCGTAAATTCCTTCCGACGAAACTTTAGCAACACAAGTCCTTTCTTAAATAAAACTGGTTTATTCTTTCTGAATATAACTTTGCGATACACTTAATTTCAACAGTCGCGCTATATCAAACGCTATAATTCTCAACGAACGTCTCACGTGATCAACAATATTCTCTCTCCGCAGTTCAATTACACATTGTTCCGTCACGTTGTGACCGTCTTATATATACAAGACTAACACATATCTAGTAAACGCTAGAGCTTCATGAAGGAACAGGATATTTCTAGAAGTCAATGACATGTTCCAAGCGTCACGTGATCCCGATGTCGTAACATAATGTAAACTACATTTTGAACTACATTACTGAGGTTTTTGTTTTTTCTCAAATTATTTGGTAGTGTGTAATGTTCAGCCTTAAAAACTAAGAATTTAAAAAACAACGATTATTTCATACACAATTCTATAAAAATGGGAATGTTTCCAGTCTCCAAATGACTAAAATAATAACTTACTGTACAAGGTTAAAAAACCCGATGACACAGCACAGAGGTACCAAGGTTGGTACAGTCATCATGACCCAAGGCCAGAAAAGGGCAGCTTTCAGAGAAGTTTGAGGGAACTTGCTGGCACTGTAACAAACCTGGGCACAAGATATCTCAATGCTGGCAACTTCAAGACAGGCAGAAAAGGCTGCTCCCCAGAAAAGTTGTTGGAACTGTGGAGAGCAAGGACATATGAAAAGCCAGTGTAAGAAGAATGCTACCAATAAGTCAGCTCCGAGAAACCAGTAGTGGTTGGTGCTGAGGGACGCCCACCAACCCCCATTGTGAAAGTCCCAACAGCTAAGTTTAAAATGACAGGCACACATAGTGTCTACGTGACAGGAATGCTGGATGGCCAAAAGTGCAACTTTGTCATAGATTCTGCATCTCAGCAAACCATTGTGAGTATCAAGGTGCTGGA